GCAGAATATTATCCAATTACAATTTTAATAGACGTTGTCAAGATCCTATTATTGTTTGAATACCTAATCTATTTTTGACATGTATATTTTATCCTGTTGGTGATTTTTTATTATTTACTGTTTACGTTAATTTCTGAATCGAATGGTGTAATATAAATATAAGTACTTAAATTTTTTGTACGACGGATATCGTGTCATGATATGTATGATATTAATAATTTAATTCTGCATGCAGCTGTCGGCTTTCAAAATTTTTAAGACATCGTTAACAAAATAATTTAATTAAACGTAATCTCTTAAAATTGCTCTGGCTGAATGAAATGTCACCGTACAGTATTAGTATAGTTGTTCGGTTTTTTTTCCATCCCATTCATCGTAACACGGGTGTTTTATATACCTAGCTGTTTCGTTTAGGTTGAATTCACAATTGTTTACACTCTGTGTAATTTTAATTATCAGTGCAACATCCGTTATACAGTTCTTTGCGGACAGACGTCTGCTGGAGGTTCCCTTTTACTTTTATTTTTTTTTTCTCAGTTTTAACTGACCAATGATTCGTTTCGACAATGTAACATCGGTGACAAATGTTTTTACAGCGCTAATCAAACTGTACACAAAAATATGTTCCACGCGGAATTGTCTCGCAGTAAATTTATTGTGAAACAATCGATTTTCGCGCACCTGCGTGAGGCTGTTATACATGCCTTTATAAGTATCAATTATAATATAATATACAACGGTCGTTAACGGTAAAACATTGGTGAATATAATTATTATTGTTGTGAGTTACATTATATTATTAATTAATAATTACTATAATAATATAGGTTAACTATATTATGGTAATTAACGCGATATTTTATGCCGGCATTGTACAAATGCGCCGGAACGTATAGGTACCCAATAATAATAATGATAATAATAATACAAATATTTTAGTAAACGCGTGTTGTCATCTCCTGTCCGCCAATACAACATAGAAACCCAAACAAAAGGATAACGAATTATTGCATCGTTCGTATAACCGTAATCGAGGTCGATGCACGAAACACATATTTATACCTAGGTAAGTACATTTGTTTTTTTTTCTGTGACCGTCGAAACGCATAAACCTAATTATAGAGATGTTTAATACAGCTACGATTACCGTAGTTCCGCGATTTTATAGATCACTAGGTTCATAAAAAAGTACACGTAAATTCAAATACGGATGACACTATACTCTAACGGTATATTCGTATGTAATATTTACCGATTTCTCTCTCATACTCTCTCTTTCTCATCAATCTCATCCCCTCTATWAATGTCTA